CAGCTCTCACCTCCAATACGTAGCTATCTCCCCACCTCCCCAAATAATCGGCGCCGCTGTAACCACTGTACAGTATGCGGTTTTTACAGCTGAAGATGATATGACGACATACGTTACAGATGGGTAATTACCAAAAAAAGAAACGTGTGAAACCTCAATGATTGAACTCACGTGAAAACGGACTTGTGGTTTCCCCACGTAGGAGTCGGCACCCAAATATCTTTGTGTTCTGCAAAGGAGCTCTTGAAGACAGCAATAGGAAGATAGTGGATAGGACGTGCAACAGAACAATGTTCAGGTAACAGAAGCACTGGGTCTGTGCTCTGACTAATGATGAACATGAATAATGTCGATCACAAAGTGGATAAAAAGCATACTTATGGGAAGTGTCTTATTCGTAACACGTCTGTTGGGTGCCAGCAAACCTAACGACCATACACGTACTGTGTTCTTTTTTTGATACACTAGGACGAAAAGAGAAAACTGTAAGATGAACCTCCAGTGGTAGTAAGGAATGTACAAAAAAGGCCTACACGATGCTTGTTAACAACAGCAGTCAGCTTTTGCTCCCAGTGAGCATCCTTTTCCTCGTTTTCCCAAAAAATGTCACTCAGGGGAACGGCGTAAAACGATCCTGATAGGGAGGTTAACTTTCAACCGTTTTGACTCCAGAAGGAATAGTTTGTTTTTGGAATGAACTCAGAAAAGGCCTCCAAATATCACCAACCAATGAAGGGCATGACTCAGAAACCGACCACATATATCGGTGTCCACTCGTCGCTAGGGTAGGTAGCTATTCAGTCAGGAAATACAGTTTATTGATCGATTGATGACAGTTGTACAGACGTCACTCACAGTTTACTGACATTCGTTTCATGTAGTTGTTTCATTCAACCCACCAAAACGGAGGACGATTTGGTGGTTGAATTTTTTCCAACCATCATGTGTCTTTGTTTCATAACGCCCAGGGGAGAGGGGGCGAGATGAACCAAGTGGTTAGAGCGCGAATTTACTGACCGGAAGGTCCGTGGTTCGAACCCAACCTCTGCCTCACGATTTCCCCTGTCTAGACTTGGGCAACCTGCCAGTATCCCAGCCCTCGTGCCTCCTTCGTGTGGCATGGCAGCTAGGCACCGAAAAGGTGCCACAGTTGAACGATTTATCAGGGGAGGGTGGGGGAACGAGATGATCGTTGCGTCGCAGAATTACGGCAGGCAATAGTTCCATTTCCTCCACCTGAGTTTGGCTGTGGCAGACCGTAGTTTCAAAACTGTTACTGGTTCGTAGACTTTGGGATCAAAGATGGCCATCCTCTTGTCATCTATCCCTGTTGCTTTGAACCAGTTGCACAGCAAGTTGAAGTGAAACAGAGAGTTATCATGCTTGCAAACTTGTCGACCACACTGGTGATGGACTGACAACGTCTGGCAACAGATTTATGACACGAAATGAGACAAAGAGAAATCATCCATCGGGATTTCGTCCAGTGAGAGGAGCCGCTGAAAAGCCAAGAAACTGTACAGCTGTTTCATTCCTGTTGCGAAGCACCAGTGGTGTGCATCGCACAAAACTCCAGAGAGTTTCGAACCTGCAGCTTTCCGGCCAGTGGTTAAATACCCAACCGTTTGGGCAGGAGGGAGTGATAAAAAGTGCGATTAACTCGCACTTAGGCTCGCGCCTAATCGAGGGCTGATCACATCGTCCATCAGCCGCTTACGGCCGGATGATTAAGTGCTCAAACTATCAGTTGGGAGTTATGTCAGAAGGGTACTATTAGATTAAACGACCGTACAGTGCTTCCCTGTTTTTCAGCATAAGTTGACTAAAACTGACAGGATGAAATCCCAATTGAAAGCTGAAAAACCCCAAACTACCAACAGAGGAAATATTCAAAATGAAGAGGAAACTGCTGAGTCCATTGCAACCCCATCAATGTGTTGGTAAACTCAGCCTTTGACCATAAACCTTCCAAAATCCCTCATACGGAAGGGTGCGTGATGTTGGACAGGGTAGGATCTCGTTCAGTAAAGGTTCTGATGTGGCTGATGCCTTGGCATTGATGCCTTTTGGTAACACGACTTTGTCAGTTCTCTCTAGGAAATTCCCGGCAATTGTGACTTCTTTTTCTAACTTTAGCTTACTGTGTCACTGGTTCAAGGCCACAATATGATATGGGAGAGGCCAAAGGGGCCATTTTGAAACCGTAGTTCATCGGATGCCAGCTGAAAGTGGGCGCCATCCGAATTCGCTTCTGTCCGTCCGTTGTATATGGAAGACGCACTAATTCGAACAAAGCTAAAAAACCTGTAGTGAAGGAACAACAATCGGACAGGAATTCAGTCACATTAGGACAGCTTTGGAAGAGCATGGCGGAATCTGTCGATTAACAGCGTGTTATCCAACTCTAACATTGGCACAACGCCACACATGGATGACGCATCTTACAAGCAACGAACTTGATCGAACCCGACGAACGAAACAATTGCGTACACAATATCAACTGCGTTGAATACCAGAGTTTACACTGGTCGAAAGAGTAAACCACCGAAGGTGCGAGTCACGCAGGCAACACTGTTCCGAAAAGATGCAGCAATTCAAACAAACTGGGGCGGGATTCTGCTGTAGCACTTCCGCATTAGCCGGAGTCACCGTCCACATCCTACGATGAATCCACAGCACTCTACACGAGCCTGTCCGGGGTGAGGTGGACCAAGCGGTTAGGGCGCGAATTTACGACCGGAAGGTCCGTGGGTTTGAACGCGACCTCTGCCTCTCGAGTTCCCCCGTTTAGGCTTGGGCAACCTTGGAGTATCCCAGCCCTCGTGCCTCTTTCAAGTGGCATAGCAGCTAGGCACCGAAAAGGTGCTACACCCTGTCGTACGTCAAAAGGTTTAACCTTCTGCAACACACAAGGTAAGTGACCTGATATTTCGAAGGAACTGTCCCCATTCAACAACAGAATTGACGCATCCCACGAATCACAACTACCTTGACATCACATCCCCATAACAGTGCCCTGCCCTTTGATGGACGAAATGTTTGTTCGACGAGCAAACCCGCCGTATAATAGATAATATGCTGTCAAACATCGTTTTTTAGGCAGTGTATGGTCGTTTATGAAACGGAAGCTATACACTTACCAAGAATGCTGCGGCAATGTAGAGTGCTCCAGTGCCTGAAATCGATTGCACAGTAGCATTCTGGAAAGGGAAAGACAGCTGTTTGAGCGAAATAGAACCAAGAAAAAGAGGAAAATCAGCTTGTGTGGCAGTTAGCTAGCGCATCAATCACGTTCATCGTAAAAGTCATCCTTGAAGGAAAAAACAGGTCACAGGAATGAGGGGGTGAGCCTGTGTGACTTCGACTAAACTTTATAGTGTCAAAGAGTTGGATTTCCTGCTTTAAAACGTGTTTTTGTACGCCACCGATTGTTGAATTCGGCCACCTTCTGAAGCTCCCTACAACCCGTACTCTCATACTCACTATGTGCATGTACTACAGTATATATACATACTTGTATTACATATGGAAGTCCCCCCCACATGGGAAACTGCCCAACTGTGCTAAGTACGAGCAACTAATAATGTATGCGGCTCAAATTTTGATGATGGAACGAGATGGTGAGACGGTTACATCAATATTGCGACCTCCCAAAACAGATCACCCCTTTGTAGCGAACACAAACAATATTAGAAACAAGTGAAAATCCACGATACGAATGAAGTAATAAACATAGGAACACAGGAACTGAGAAACGCACGTAGTCTCTCGGCACTTACCCGAAAATATAGTTTCCTTAACAGTTGATTAGCAAAACAGGTGAACATAAAAAGAATGCGCTTATCTCTGAACTTCGTGGCATTGAACTGCATCATAAGTGATCGCTGTGAAACTTTCAAACATCGTTATCTCCTTGGCACCTACTCACACGCTGTATGTTACAATAAATGCCACTAACTTCGATTCGTTTTCAGAATTGTCTGCGGATGGTAAAATACAGCACAAATATGCAAATACACGTCATGCCAAATAACGGTATGGAAGTATCGAAAAAAATGTTCAGGTATAACATGCTCTTGGCGCCTAGCAGCCATGCCGCCCGACGAAAGCACGAAAGCTGAAATATGTCCAGGTTGCTCAAGCCTAGACGGATGTCGAGATGCAGATGCCGGGTTTGAAGCACAGACCTTCCGGCCAGTAAATTCGCGCTCTAACCATCGAGCCATCTCGAGAAAAATTATGTAAGTCAAACAATGTTGAGGCACTCGAGCACGCTTGGAACTGAAGTCGAACTGAGAACTGAATTTGAAATAGCTCAAGCCCGAACTTACTGACCGGTCCGAACCAAGCTCCAGCATCTCGACTGTTCCTGTCTAAGCTTTGGCAACCTAGCAGTATCTCAGTTCTCGTGTTTCCTTCGAAGGGAGGCATGGCAACTAGGCAGTGGAAGGGTGTTGCAGCTGAACGACTACTACCTGACCGAGGTGTGATTGAAGTAACACGTAATGTATAACCACAGAAATTAAAGCACGCAAAAAATGGATGGTTTCAACCCTGTCTACTCGTTATCTCATTCAGGCGTCGACGAAACGTCAAATAACGGTTATGTTTTTCCTACCAGCGAATTGCTAATTCACCACATCTTCCATAGAAATGTTCTTCAACGTGGTCCGGCCCTCCCGGAAACCTCCATAACCTGATCTCGAGTCATAATGATTGACTAATTCACCCGTGAAACCGTTTCTAAGTGACTGGGTCAATTAGTAAACAACATAAGTGAACCCAATGCTTATGTGAGTGCATATACTTGTTTTTCCAAGTCTTTTAGAGAAAGGTGGCTGGTAGAATCAAATTTGTAAACACCAAACTTGGGTAGATGAATAATGTGCTATCAGCGCAAGCGGAAGACAGGCGGTTTTCAATAGGCGCGGTAGGTGTACAAAATATCTCAGTGGTGTGCTCTTACTCGGCCTGAGGATACCACCGATGATTTTGCCCCCATGGCTAATTGGAAGGCCAGTTTGCAAAAATCTCCTAAACCAGCGATGCCCGCGTATTCCTTGTCCAAATTTTGCTTCAGTAGACGCTCCTCCGCTGTTTTGACTGAAGGTAAGACAAACGGCTTTCCGTTATCATCTCGGTAAGCACCAGCCCCAAGATTAACCTTCTTTGGGTTCGTGTCACGCTTGAACGCTTCGGCTATCCCAAGGATGGCATCTGGCGGTCCCATCTTCACGTTGGTCCACATACAACTAGGAACGGGAGAATATTAGACAGACTAAACTTACACAGAGCGCTTAAAGAGATTAATGGGAGGGAATATTTTGGACCGCATCTCCCAGGCGCTGGAAAAGAGGGAAAGGAAAGTGTAAAAATATCCGAGTCCGATCAGGCTCCGCCCGGTCTAGCGCAGTGCTACAAGGGCATAATGAGATTCACGCAATATTGTAAGCAAACTTTATGAGATGCAAATGTGTGCTAGCGCCAACGCATTAGACAACCAGCTTTAGATACGAAGAAACAACTGCCAGAGCACATGGGACATTCTTGTGTGAAATGATATTAGCCTGCTCTCATGGAGACCAATGAACACAAGACGACGAGGAGTCAAGTGTAAGGGAAAAGGTTGTGGAAGTCATAAACGGTTACTTAGAGGAAACTTTGACACTCCAGATCTCAATTAGTACCTTGACATAACGTTCATGGGTGAACATCAATCAGTAGGTCTGATCTGCGACAAGAACATTAAGCAACTAGATTGAGGGAACGGCAAAGCTTTCAATTTATGAGGCAAACAAAGAAAAAAAGAAGAGAAAAAATTCTTTCTTTTTCTTTGTTTGCCTCACAAACAAAATTCAGGTTGGTTCATTTATTCAAGGCAGACCACTGGTCAGTTCTAGCAAGCAGAGACGCAGAACTCGAGAGCCACGGACCATCTGGATTAAGAAAGGCGCGGAGTTGGGTTTTGAGCACGTAGACAAACTCTATTGTTGAATTTACGGCTGGTCATCCCGGAATTATAAATTTGCTTGGTAGCTGCTAAGCACAAAACATCGGATCCGAAATCGTAAAGTCTGATACCAAGTTGTAGTTGATGGAAAATTGATCGTCCATATTCAGGGCTACCTCGTGCAAGGTCATATGGCCCAGCTGTAGCACCCATTCAGTGCCTAATTGCCATGCCATCAGAAGGAAGCACGAGGGCTGGGATACTGCCAGGTTGCCCAAGTCTAGACAGGGGAAGTCGAGAGGCGGAGGCAGAGTTCGAACCACGGACCTTCCGGTCAGTAAATTCGCGCTCTAACAACTTGACTAACAACTTGGCTTTCGGCCAAGGTAATATGTTTTTCTGCGCATGCAAACTTCTATGCGCACCCAATTAGATAAAGCAATGAAGATGGAGAATATCTAGAATGTTGGTAGCTGCTCAACTTTCTGCTCAATTCAATTCAATTCCACCTTTTGCCAATCATGAATAGCATATGCCATCATTAACCGAGGTCCTCGGCAGTTGAATATGTGGTTCACCGTACCTAGCCGATGAGATTCATTTTATACAAAAGTTTACCCACTGTGTTGTCTCGCAACCCCTCGATCCTTGGCCCACCGTTCCGCGCACTACGCTTTACAGAAAGGCACGATAGCTTGACATAGCCCTCAACGCGAGGAAGCAAAATTATTAGCTGCACTTGTAAAGCGCGGCTTGTGAAAGGAAAAAACCGACTGACCGACTGACAACGTCCTGCTACAAATCCCCTGGAAGGAGCGTTGAAACACACAGATTCAAGGATTCCAAGTTTCCTGAGAACCACAGAAAGTTGTAGCTCTAAGTATGACTAACATCTAAGAGGATACGAGATTGTAAACTCTTGGGAAGTCGGCAGGGTCACTAGTTTGTAGGTAAGGTATAAATGTAGTAGAATGTGGGTGAGCGGTGATAAAAGACAGACTCGTCTTCCCCTTACTTCTCTTCCCAGCATTCTTTCTTCTACAACTAGATTACTCTGCTGGCTGAAACCCAAATAGCAAACTGGAAATATGAAATACCTAGTACGTTAGACTCGGCACTTCGCGGGTTATATTAACCAGTTTTTGCAAGCTCCGGACATAACTTAATCCAATTTCTGCTCCACTATTGGACTCAGATTACCTGCAGGGGAAAAAATCAGTCGTCGGCCTTAACTGTGAAGAATCAGGCTTTTAAATGCCTTCCGGTGCAACATTATTCTCAGATCTACAGTAGCAGCATACAGAGTTTGAGCAGTTTGGGATGTATGGCTTGCAAAAGACGTGGCCCAGCCACTGGAGTTTATCCTTGGATTCATTTGGAGAGTCGTGGAGTATCATTTCAGTGATCTGTGATACAATCATTGGACAGATTGTTGTTCCAACATACTTAAAGTACTCTAATTAGGCAGTGGTCAAATACTTCGGGTCTTTGAAGACCGACAGTTGTGAGTACAGGTCTCACGGTTGTATGCTAACAGAATTCGGACGGTTGCTGTGTAGACATGGAGCTTGGTTCGAAGGCTGATTTCCAGACGTTTGGAGAGCGGTGTGAAGATTCATGAACGTTTTTTGGTGCTATCGGTGCGAACGTTTATCCTTGCAATGCCTTGTTTCACGGTTAATACTACGGTTCACACAAAGAAGACTAGGCTGGATACTCATACTTGTGGTGAAGGGTTTCATCTTCACAAGATTTATTTCCAGTTGAACGAGTGGAGCGTAGTGACCGAATAGGTTGAATTCCTGTCAAGTACTTACTCAGAATGGTAGTGTCACTAGGTTTGCGATTCACTTGATAGGGCTTATTGGAACACCAGGGATGACACTGAGGATGGTCAATCCAATCAATCTCAACATCAGATGGCGTTGGCGAAAGTGAAAAGCCTTGTCAAACACCGGACTTCAAAAGAAACACGGTTATCTCTTCCGCACAAATTCGTATTATGGCTATTGCATCTGCGTAGTAGGTTCCGATGGGTCAAACTTTTAATACAGGCCAGAAAGGTCCTCTGTTGAATGCTTCGAATGTTGTATGTAAGTCAACAAAGCCGGCAGCTGGTTAGTGGGACCTATATCACTTAGCGAACGAAGCCACATCTTATCCCCTGATTCGGTCTGATGTGAAACACTTGCTTCTTTGAGGAAGCGTGAGAGTAGCATAGCAAAGATTCCGGCTGCGATATGAAGCAGGCTGATACCTGAACAGTTCTCAAAAACTGATGTCGCTCTTTGGGTAGCGGTAGGGGTGCTCTAACACAGGAAATACTTCGGCTTCCAATATGGGGCAGAAAACCTTGCGAAGTTTAAGGAGTGGCGGTGAAAAATTTTTCGGGATACTATCTTCACCTAGAAACTTTTTGTTTTCAATGACTTGATTATCTCGCTTCATTGACGTTGGATAGGAGCGTCACAAGTGGTGTGTGGCGTGGAGGTTGTGTTCGTGGTGAGTACCTGTTGGCTGTATGAGTGGCTGAGTAATGTTCAGGCCGGTTCCTCGGTTTTTCTCCAAATTCCGTTATTGGTTGACCGCCAGCCTCGCAAACTACTTTGCTGACCTTGAGGCGCGATAGATGTGCCAGTAAAGATGCAAAAAGCTACTGACAATCAAATATGACCCCAAACTCAAAACTTCTGGCTAGTAATCTGCAGAACCTCTCCGAACTGAGCGATAGGGCCTGACGACGTTATTGAGCGAATTGGAGGTGTTGGTTGCGCAGGTCTAGGCGGATGACCAAGAGAGATAGATGGCCCTTTCGGAGTTCCAAGCTTCGTAGCGTCGAGGTGAATTCAGGCTTTGACATGGCAGCCCATCGTATGGACTTCCTTAGACGAAGTTGGGACTTGCAGATGGAGACCCTTTGAATTCGCGGCCGTGACAACTTAGTAGACACCCGGCTGGTGATCACACCTGAGAACCGAGGGCACTTTCCGAGTTCTTTATAGCAGCTCACGTTGATCCGTTCTGTAAGCTATATTTTGTGCCGGGCAGCAAGGTGATGTTCAGACTTCGCAAGTACAAGGGTGTTGCCCGAGCTACAGTTATTCTCCACTTCTGCTCAACAGTAGACCCGTCTTCAACAGACGATAACCATCAGACTGCCGCCAAGATGTAGTCTAGCAGTGCAGCCGTCACTGGAATACTTTGTGATTGGATGCTCGCACCCCGTCCCAAGGCTAGGAGCATAAGTTGGTTACCAATCAATACGACCGGATGTGGCAAAGATGGTCAATCGATTGTCGTTTTGGTAACGTTGTCCTGAACAGAACTCTCCAAAGAAGTGGCGGATGGCGTCGGTTGAAGCCCACGTTTCCACGTACCAACCGTCAGCAATCTTCAATACATCGCGGCCAGGTTTACGGTTGACCACCCTTTGAGGCTCAAAGTAGAAATCACTCTTGGTGGGAAGCTCGATAAAGAAGTGAGAGCGCAGGCGGTTATGGCGGTCGGGTGTGTTAATGTGTGTCTGAAACAAGTCGCGCCATCCTAGAGTACACAGGCTTTTAAAAGGGTAAGTCGTCGCGGGCACGTCTCCTTACCGTGCCGACCAGCATTAGCATCTTGGTCGCCGTCGTACACCCAGTAGAATACCTTCATCCCTGGTACTTTGATGCGCTTTCCGACGAAATCAGGAACCCGTGTCTCCAAAACGCACGCAATGTCGACTTGGTAAGTAAAGAGATTTCGTACCTCGAGAATCAGCATTCCCATATCAAGCGGAGTACGAGCATTACGGTAGCGTTCCCGGTTTCGAAGGGAGAGGTCTAGCTTCCAAATTCATTAGCACGACGGTTAAGTCAATGTCATTCGCCGTGGCATGAACGGAGCTTCGCACTCAGATTTGTGCACTTGCGACACGACGGCTTTTGATGGAGGTTGCAACTATAACCTATAAGCAAAAAAATACACACTGAAAGGCGATAGGTTTGTGAAGAGTAGGACAATCAGGGTCACTCGAGCATGTTTTCATCTAAATGGAGTTGTAGTTTCTTTAAGCTTCGCAACTCCGTGGATGTCGGTTATCGCACGCAAAGTAGCATCAAATAGCGACAAGAATTCGCCACATGAAACGCTGGGAGACGACAATCTACACCAAAACTGTCTTACAGTTTGCAAACACGTCGTAACAGCCGATAAGCCTAACCCGCACGTGATTGACCAGATGGGCTGTCGCTTTCTGCTACAGCATCAAACTGAGCGCTGGTTGGTCGAAATTACTGGACCCAACAGCAAGTGATGTTCCAGGGTCACTAGGGCCCATTAGCGACACGATGCTCTCAGCTGGAAAAAACATTTTCGATCGGAGTGGAAATTTTTGCGCAAAATTTTGAATTTTATTGCGTGTGTGCCCAAACCAAAACAATCTTTATCTACGTTCACGTTTTTGCATACAACCAAATTTCATTTTCCACCGAAACAACCAGGACAATGGCGAAAAAATCTGATGGAATAATTTCCCACCATCGCTGAGACCCCGGGTGCCTAAATGAGGCTCAAAAGTTTGAAATGGTACTCTGAACTTATTTCATCAGGGACATGTCATAGCTTGCGAAAAGTCAATTCCATTGTGCGAATACTTATTTCCGGGTCAGGGGCTTGCGGTCCGGACGGGAGTGTCAGTATCTCAAGGTTATGGTGGCCTACACTAGGATGGTATAAAAGCCAATGCGAAGCTACAACTAATCGCTCTGTGCTTGTTCTTCGTGTGGTCCGGGTGTCCATGACGTTATGCTAAACGCGACTGGCACATTAGGAATCATGGTAAGGTCAGTGCACATTATGCCGAATACAAGAACATCCTACGTTGGATTGTTGACAAATAAGCTGTCTTGTAGTTAAATGTCTTGTACATTCACAAATTGCATACTCGAATGAACTTACCTCCAGGAATTCGAGTCGAAACTGCGAGTATACCAATGTGGAGTGGGCACACATTATGTCTGCTGGCATGGTGTATCGGCGGCGATCTATGGACAGAATGTCGGAAAAGTGCTTTCGCCGGCGGTCTTTTATGCTGTCATGTTGCACGCGCGTTCACACTGGAATGCTAATAGGCGGGATTAATGGTATATTGACAATTGTCCTCATGGTCAACCAATTCACTCATATTCAGCTGCGCTGAATTTGACTGCCGGTCCTTCGTGCGTGTTGTCCACCATGACGGTCGCGTAGTAATCATTAGTTTCAGCAGCCAACTTTCCCTCGACCTGTGTAGGACTGACTGGCAAATGTCCAACAGCATCTGAATGCTCAACAAGGATGCGTCGTTCTTTTCTGGCGTTTTAAGCCACCCATGGAAATCCGTGGCCATGTCCGAAAAAACTACGGAATTGATTTAGCCGGTGATGATTTCTGGATCTTACCCGATAAACTGCG